ACCCCTTACTGTTAGGGATGTCAAATTGGCTCATATCACATTGAAAGAGGCAAGTTAAAGAATCGAAAAATCAACGAAAAGTATTGTTCAATCAGAACGAGATCGATTAATATTCTCAGTCTACATCGACAGCACCATTTTACTGGAGTCGAGCCCGAGCCTCGAATTTTGACTCGCGAACTGGCTTGGCTCATTGACATGCCTACTTCTACTACTACCAGACATGCGGCTTGACCTGAGTTTTCAGCTCGGTCCTTTTCAATTTTTTCTCTTTTTTCTCCTAGAGGCAGCATTTTACTATCTTTCAATTTTTTTCTCTAAAAGATCAATGGCAACGCGCATTAAACGTTGCTAAAACATCAACAAACGGAAACGTGCATTGAACATTGTGAAAATATCACCAGTAACTTTTGAATGATTTCTTGAATTTTATGGGTTTGTTGCGTTGTTTTTCTTTATCTAAATTGAACAATACATATCCTTTCAACATGGAAATTCCAATTTTTACAATCTTCTAATTTTTTTTTAAGAAAGTGGTAAACTGACATTTGATGGCATTTGCAAGTATCTTGTTATCCAAATCCTGCAAATTATAAATCAAAATTTTGAATTCTTGCACTTCCCTATGTTCGAATCTGTGAATTGCTGCCAAAAAATTTTGATAAGTTTGTTTGTATAAATTGAGGGTAGTAAATGTTATGATCATATGGTCTTACTTTCATGTTTCTGATTGAAGTAGCTTTTGATGCATATCAATTTGTTCATAGTCAGGGTTGAATTTTATATTTGGGTTGTATTGAACTATATTGCAACTGAACTCTGTTTCACCAATACTATTTTTGTTATTTAAAGAAAACTAGCTCATAGATAGATCTTCATCTGTTTTTTACAAGTGACAAGTAAGGTGAATTGATTTTTCAAAATTTTCGTTTTTTCAAGTGATTGAAGTAAAGTGTGAGCTTTTTTTGGGGCAAGATTGAGCCTTTTAGCTTGCGCCTTTTCGATTTTTTCTCTTTTTTTCCCCTAGAGACAGCATTTTCTCCTAGGGTTGAGCTTTTTTTTTTAGCCGAGCAAAAGCTCGGCTCGACCCCCAAAAAAAGCTCAAACCATTTTACTACAGCCAAGCCCAAGTCTCAAATTTCAACTCTTAAGCCGGAGGTGAACATTGCCAAAAGATCAATGGCAATGCGTAGTAAACGTTGTGAAAAGATCAATGACAACACGCATTGAATGTTGCCGTATCCTTTACTCTATGGGAACATCAAAGCCCTCAACATACGCTCGAACGTTGCGAAAGATCTTTCTCAACAGTTTTCTTGTTGCGATAGGCTATTTAACCAGTCATCGGCTATCGAGTGAAGTGCGCCTTTTGTGTTTTTCTCTGCAGAAGAATCTTTTTAGGGGTTGTGGACGTGGAGTGGTTGTAGCGACGACAATGATGGCGATGTTTTGTGGCAGTTGCGGTGGCGAGATCTTGTTAGATTTGGCAACGGAGTGTATTTGGTTCTAGGAGAGTATCCTTGTTTCTTTCTACCCAAATGAAGTTAAAATGTTTTTTGGATTCCCGAAGAATAGGGAGGTAAAATAAGTTCGATCGACAGATTTCCTTTTGTTCGTTTTTCTCCACTCATCATACAACAAGCATTTCCCTTGTCGAAAAAGTGGTGGCCCCAATGGGAACCACTGAACGTTCAATCTCACTTACCCATTACATTGCAGCCAAGGGCGGAGCCCAATGAAGTGAACTTCTGGGCCCAACCCCAAAGACCCAAAACTTTTTGAAGTCACATTTCCATGTTATAGAGAACCAGACCCCATTCAGCGTGTGAAGCGTGGCTTTTGTGTTTTTCTCTGCGAAAGTGTGGCTTTTATGTTTTATATATACTTCAACTTTTCCCTTTGCCGCCTCTCGTTTTTAATCCTTTTAAAATACTTCAACTTTTCCCTTTCTCGCCTCTCGTTTAAATCATATTCTTAGGTCACGGGAGAGAAACCAAATGGTAGTTTTAAATACATTGACACTGAAAAAGTGGCTTGCGTGGAAAATGGGAAAGGTTAGGCAGATGATAAGAATCTTGTCTTAAAAACTTGAATGATTTCTTGAATTTTGTAGGTTTGTTGCGTTGTTTTTGTTTGTCTAGATTGAACAATACATATCCTTTCAAGCAGTATAAAACACCCCCTTCAGCATTAAAAGAAGAAACTTTCAAAGGATTACTTGAGATTTTTTAAATCTTAATTGGATCAAATCGCTCGAACCGAACCGATTTACGTTATTATGGTGCGCTTATGGTATGACAAAAAATTTGGAGGTTCGATGATGGTTTTGGCCTAACTGAACCGACCCGAAACCAAACCGTTGCCATCCCAAACTAAAACCTTCAATCTTCTCAAACTTTGAGGGTTGCTTGAGGATTGATCCTTTTAAGCTAGCTTGAGAGTCAAAATTTGAGACTCGGGCTCGGCTCTAATAAAATGGTGCAAACTTTTTTTTGTCATTCGCATCAATAGCCGCGTCCACTCTTGTTAATCTGCGCTAAACATTAAAATCAAAAATCAATATAGATGATAAAAAAAAAGAGGCGGCAAAGGGAAAAGTTGAAGTATATATAAAACACAAAAGTCACACTTCTGTAGAGAAAAACACAAAAGCCACACTTCACAAGCTGAATGAGGACAGGTTCTCTATAACATTACATGGCTATGTGACTTCAAAAAATTTTGGGCCTTTGGGGTTGGGACCAGAAGTTCAGTGGACTTCATTGGGCTCCACCCCTGGCTGCAATGTAATGGGTAAGTGAGCTTGAACGTTCAGTGGATTCCATTGGGGCCACTACTTTTTTGACAAGGGAAATGCTTGTTGTATGATGAGTGGAGAAAAATGAATAAGAGGAAATCTGTCGATTGAACTTATTTCACCTCCCTATTCTTCGGGCCGCCACTGCAACCGGCACAAAACATTGCCACCATCATCGACGCTACAACCACTCCACATCTACAACCCCTACAAAAAAATCCCCAAATTTGTACCCACATGTCACACGCTGAATGAAAATGGCAACGCGCAATGAATGTTGCTAAAAGATCAACGGCAACGCGCACTGAATGTTGTTAAAAGATCAACGGCAACGCACAATGAATGTTGCAAAAAGATCAACGGCAATGTGCAGTGAACGTTGCGAAAAGATCAATGGAAACGCGCAGTGAACTTGAATGTTGCAATGCTTCATCTCCTTAATACCTATGCCTTCATATCAACCATGCTTCATCTCTTTTCTGCACTTCATTACATATCCCTCCTCTCCATTCTTCCTGCTGCATCTCATTTTCTACTGTCTCGTTTACTCGCCATTATCAGTTCGCTGCTCAATTCAATTGGATATTTACACAAAAAATGCAACGTTAAAAAACTGAATTTTATTTGAAGAGCGTCTCATATTTTGTAGAAAGCAAATTCGGCCGACCAAATGGTTGGTTCTGGTCCTACCAAAACTTGTTCATTTTTATATGTTTTCAAAATTTTTGGGCTTTGGGATTGATTCTTCTGCAGAGAAAAACATAAAAGACATACTTCATGCGCTGTTTTGTGGTGGTAGTGGGGACGATGGTGGCGATGTTTTGTGGCGGTTGTGGTGGCGGGATCTTGTTCGATCTAGCAACGGAGTGTAACAACGTTGTTCTTCTCTACCCAAATGAAGTTAAAATGTTTTTTGGATTCCCGAAAAATAGGGATGTGAAATAAAGGTTCTGAGGAATTACAAGAATGTAGCTGATTGCTTCCTCAGGGTTACTTTTATGGATGGGAGAATGCAGAAACTCAATAAAAACGTACTTACTCATTATCCTTCTGGCATTTTGAGGGATATCACGTCCGATTCTAATCCGCAAAGAACTTCAATGTTCAAAAGGGTGAAGGATATACTGAGTAATGGGTTCTATTTGTGTGGTCGAAGATGCTAATCAACTGCAGGACAGTTTAGCCTGATTTTTTGCTGAAAGCAAAACTATTGGAGTGCCCAGCAAAGCTAATGGGTTTACTAATAAGAACGTTGCAAAGTGTGCTACTAGGATGGGGCAATGTTACTCGTCAACTTATGCCACAGTGGAAGTCCCAGCAGCTGAGGTTGATCCTGAGCTTCCCGATATTAAAAGAAATGGATATGATTTCTCTGATGGAATCGATAAAATATCCCCTGATCTTGCAATGAGAGTTGTAAAGAAACTCCAGTTGACTGTAAATCTCGTACATCACTTTCTTTATATCACAGTTAACATTATCCATATTGTCAAGAATTAGTTAGATGAAAAAATTGTTTTAATTTTAAATTATCCAATAATGTAGTGACACATGACAGAGTGTCAAATATGATATACACCAAATAATATAGATATCGGTATACACTGTCGGAATAATTAAATCCAGTGAGGCTAACTCAAAGGTCAAAAAAATTTGAAGGGAAATTGAAGCGGTCTTCAGCGCCACCACAAACTTTTATTGGTTATTGGTATTTTTTATGAATTTTGAAACACAAACAGGATGTGTGATAGGGATTAAAAATAGAGGGACGTGTCAACATTTAATTGGACGGCTTCAAACCCAAAAAAAAAAAAAAAAAAAAAAAAGGCCAAGCAATTACCACCAACATAGCACCTATCAAAACCCTGTCACCTAACTAGCATTATTCTATTTTTCTAGGCACTGGAACAGAAGGTAAATTTTGTTCATAAAAGGAATAGAAATGGGCCTCAAACAGGAGCTTAATATCATCTCCAGAAGGGGAAGCGAATTTATCAACATTGATTTTCCAAAAATTTTCCTTTTTCAAATGCGCAGTCTTTCTTCATCCCCTGTAATTTTATGTACAAAATTCATATTCTACTTAAGATAACTGTAGATGGTTTGACCCCTATTTTTTGCTTTAATCAACAAAAAACCATTTATCACCAGCTAATCCCTCATAAGTAGATTCTCAGTCAAACATGCACAAATAACACCACTATGACAAGCAAACTTCCCGATGTGAACTAGCAGGGATGAGATGGTTATCGACAGGAAACGGTCTGGTAAATGTTCTTACACCCAAGTAGAAGATTAAATAGAAGATGAGGTTTACTCCCCTAGAATTTCATAGTAATTTAGTTTACAGCATGAAACAAATGAATCAACTGCTTCAACCATAAAGCACCGTCTAGGATTATTGGCTCATGCAATTGTACAGAAATTTGACAGTGACCAATTTGTGCATCAGAAAACTCTTCATCGCAAGAACTGACCCCTAAGTTAAGGCTTACGGGGTGGCGAGCTGCTGCTGCTGCTATTACTAGGGCTCCTTCCTCTAATCGGCCTGAAAGAACAAGCACAAATTATACAAGAAACGAGTAAGACAAAGCAACAAGCAATCCCCAAATAGAAAGCCCCCAATTTTTTGAAAAAACTATCTTGATAAATGCTAATTATTACTAGCATAAATGCAATTTGCGAAACCCATTTCACTTTCATGAAACAGAAACTTGTCAAGTTCATGTTAAATGTATTTCATTCTTGGTTGAGAAAAATCATTCATAGGAAAAGATTTCACCAGGACATATACGAGAGAACACACCTTCTCGGGCTGCGGCTCCTAGATACCCTCCGTGGAGCCTGGAAACAAATTCACAAAATGGAGCTGCAATTAGTTACTAAACCGAAATAATATTTCGCTGAAGAAATTTTTTTAGACACACAGACCCTGCGTGGGCTAGGCGATGAAGAGTAGGAAGATGATCTACCACGTCTGGCAGGTGGTGGTCCACGCCCTCTGCAAGGATGAATAATTCATAGGCATGAGAAGTCATGACATAATGCGTCATTATCGATACCACATATTTTAGTAAATAGAACAAAAATCCGTACATAAAGCAATGCTGATGTGGACTTAAGTATGGGTCCATCAAGCCATATCATGTTTCATGCTTGCATAAAATTGTTTGACTTGTGTTCTAAAACTACCACGATGATCTTTTTTCTCCCAATAAATGGGGTACACAATCAGCAGGGAAAAAAAATACTACAAAATGAATAGATCTTTATTTTAACCCCAAAAAATAATAATAATAATAATTCATTGTAGCAAGTTATGAAGGTAAGGAGCAATATACCAATATTTTACCTTCTTGGAGATATTGATCTTGATCGTGAACGAACTGGCCTCCTAATAGGAGGGGAGCGGCTCCGTCGACGGCTAATTGGAGACCTTCTAGGAGGACTTCGAGCTCGTCGTGGAGAACTACAAACGAATATTTCCATGATTACAGAGGACAAAATAAAAAACAGGAGGCATGATGCAAAATTTATAGCAAAACTATTGTCGCTTCAAGAAACACTACCTATATACAAGTATAGCAAAATAATTTGAATATAACACAAATCCCAAACTGATAGCTCTCATGGGCAAGGGCATAATCAATGTTCTGCAAGTACTTGAAAAGTTTATTTCCATCAACCAAGTATACGGCTGACAGTAAATAAAATTGAACATATTATATTACTTGAAAAAATAAGTTTCTCTAATATCCAATTATATTAATTTCAGTTTTTAGGGTCGGTCACGTCTAGACAACCCAAAAACTGTCAGAACACTCTGGGCTCCTAGCCTCAGCTAGCTTCTTAACTTTTCAGCAATTAAATTGACGCCTAGGTATCTTTATGATCCCAGACAATCCCTAGTGACCTAAAGTAATCGAATTCGAAACATGTAGAAAACTGTTCTAAGGTCCTGTCTGGAGCACCTGAAAGCAGCAGCAAATATTTGTCTTTAGATCCAATTTAACAAAACTTTAGATCACCGATACAAAGAATGAAAGAAGGAAAAAAAGGAAAAGAACAGGGAAAGAAAAAAGAAAGAAGACGGGAAAATCTAGTGCCGTCACCTTTCTCCTCCCTCTTAGAGGCGCTAGGTTTATAGAGAATAGAAACGGAAAGATAAGGAAAAGGAAAAACAAAGAAAGAAGCAAAAAATGGCAAAGTGTCCAATTGAAACTTGAAGGATCCGACAAATATCCTATTCCCATACCCATGTTGTGTCGTGTCCGACATGGGTACTCCGACCATTTCAAAGAGTCCGAGCATCAGAGCCTAATCTCTTCTAGTCCCATATTCTTGATCTGTGCAGCACTAAAACTAACAAAGCGAGCCATGAATTCTATGTCCTTCGAATGCTAGACTTTGTCTACCACGAAACCTATTAAAGAAAGACCCACATGTTTGTCCTGCACACACTAGTAGAATGCATGTTCCTCAAGAGTAATTAAAAAGCATATTTAAATCAATAAAGCTAACAGCAGTAAATGCATCAAATCGGACAACATTCTATTAACTAATGTAATATTTTTCTCGTTAAATTATCTAAAAGAATGCTGGTGATGATGACATTGTGACGAACAGTTTAACATACCGTCGCCTTGGAGGAAAGGGAGATCGTCGTCGAACAGGGCTACCACGTACCCTACGGGGAGATGCCCTATTCAAAACTAGACAAGTCAAAAGCTACCCCCTAATAAAAGATAATAGCTGGAGGCAATCAATTCAACGAGAGAAGATTTGAAAGACCCCAACCTGGGAGGTGATCGATAACGCCTGGGTGGAGAGGGAGGAGAACGGCCTCTGGCAGGAGATGCAGGCCTCCTCCTGAGAGGCGGTGAGTCACCCCGTCGAAAAGCAGTATCTACTCTGCGACGAACTGGAGAATCTGCGCGTCTCCGGGGAGGAGAATCTGGTCCCCGTCTGGGAGAACCTCTGCGTGCTACTGGAGATCTCCTTCGAGGTGGAGAAAGAGGTTTGCGCCGAGGAGATGCTGATGATATTGAGGAAATATGGTAAAACAAATACCAATAACAGAACGAAGAATAATATACTGTTCCATATTGGGCATAGAGAATTATCGTACCTTCTCTAGGTCGCTTTAGTCCATCTCTGTCGGCATCTGCAGCAACATCATCAGCTTTAGTGGCATCCCTCCTCGAAGTAGTTGCAACAGCTTTAGGAGGCGAAGAAGCCTTCTTCCGTTCAGGTAATGTAAACTTGGCTCGAACAACTTTCCCATCAATTTGGGCCTGCATTAACATCAGTTGAGCAGATTAATTTTCACTACAGTAAAGTACAACTAATCACTACAGCAGAGCATCTTGAAGAAATCATACGCCATCCATAAATAACATGGCTTTCTCAGCATCAGTTCTACTCTTGAACTCAACATATGCAAATCCTTTTGGAATGTTAACCTGCAACAAAGCAACTATTTAACAAATCCAAATTAAAAGATAAAAATGGTTCAGACACCTTCACAGAATATGGGAATTTAACAACTTACGACGCGATCAATTGCCAGCTGTACATTTACAACTTCACCGAAATTACCTACAAAAGAGGGAGCAAGATAAAGGAAAAGAAACCCAACCTGCCTGAAGGCGCAAATAAGAAAACTACAACGAAAGCTGCCTATTAAGGTTTTTTCTTTTTTTCTTTTTTGGATAGGTAATCAAGAAATTTTATTAATCAAAGGATAATACACAAGAAATGCATTATCAATTTAAACAAGATAAAAACATGAAATTAAACAACCCTTCTATCGGATTAGTAAACGCGGCATTAAATCAAATATACAAGGTTATATAAAACAATTCTCTAAATTACTCTGTAGTCCGTGTTTGATCATCAAAATAACAGCTGTTTCATTCTCTCCACACACACCATACAACAGATCCTGGAATAAGATCCCAAACAAACTTACTATTCTTATCTCGAAGCTTTCTCCTCCATGCCTGCATAACATCCTCTATGCGCCTAGGCATCACCCAATTCATATGTTGCGAAACTAGAGTATCATTTCACAACTAATGAACACCATCACAATGAATGAACAAGTTGTCAATCGTCTCCCCATACCTCTTATACATATAGTACCACTCGGTAATATAAAAACATTTTCTTCGAAAATTAACCACCATTTAACACTTGCCCCCTCACAACGTTCCACACTTAAAATGCCATCCGTGGGGCAATTTACATTGTCATACCCTCTTTCAAGGGAATGAACAATTTACAAGCTTCGACAATGATCTAAAATCAGTGCAAACAGAGAAAATATCATTCCATGCCACCCACCTGCTACGATCGTCCTCTCCTACACGGATGTGGACCTCATGCAAGGAGGTCAAAAACAGCACATAATTAATCAAATTCCAATCCTGTAAACCCCACCCGAAAACAATATTCCAGTTGAGACTCCTATTATGTATAGCTAATACATCATTCACCATAGTAGAAGGCACCAAAGCAATGTCATACAAAGAAGGAAACCCCACCTTTAGTGGTTGATTTCCACACCAACAATCATCCCAAAATTTGACATTCCTACCACTTCCCACCACAAAAGTTGCAATTAGTTTTTAAAACAAACGAAATTTTGTCTATGCCACCAACTAATTTGCCGTATACGTAAAAAATTTAAAAAGCATATTAAGAAACTTTTTCCTAGACAACTATTTTTCCAATTCAAATTTTTTCTTTTTCATTTTCATTCTTTTTTTTTTTTTTTTTTTTTTTTTTTTTTTTTTTTTTTTTTTTGAGAAGATGCAACTAAAGTTCTTTGCACTCAAACTTTTGAAGAAACCATTGGTAAAACACAACTATCATCTAAGTCATGATCATCTTTTGTGTGCGTATTCAGAAATCTCTTCGATAATAGGCTATTCCATCATTGTCTCATTTTCAGTAGAATAATACAAAATGTACTCATCATCCATCACATTTTTGTAGCATTGACTAGAAATGACTTCACATAACCAATCGATAAATTAATAAATTATTCATTTATCAACAAAAATAATAAATTATTCATTTATTGATAAATTAATAACCCATCTAAAGTAATAATTTTTTGCAGTCCCAACAATATTATTTTATAGAAGTTTTATTGTATCAGTCAATTTCACTAGCCCCAAGATAACTGTTCTAACCTAGCACAATCAATATTCAACAAAAGCTTCCAACTACCAGAATTCAGAAGATAAAAAAGAAGTGAGTGTACCAAATATTTCTTTTAGGTGGTTTTCATTTACGTTTCTACTGAGCTGATCAACATGAAGTACAAGTGACTCAGGAATTGGAGAAGCTTTCCTGGAAACACGGAACAAAACCAGAATAATAAAGCCATCCATGATAGTAAGCAATCATAAATAACTGTAGACCATAGAAAATAAAACAAAACAAAACAAAACTAAGCCCCGTAGAAATGCTACACAAGTTTAAGAGGACAGATTCAGCTTCAGACAAAAGTGACTACAAAATAAGCAGCAGATCAAAAACCTAGAAGTGAATATGCAAACTAAAGTTGAATGACAGAAGCTGAGCACATTTAATATACAGTGCATGTGGAGCTTTAATTGAAATATAACTTAAACAATTAGTATGTTCTAAGATAAATTTGAAATTGTGGTACAAACAAGTGTAATTATCATTCTTATATATCCAAAGTAGCATTTTGTATATAAACAAAATAATAATAATATAGGTATCAATTCCATAAAAACACCAGCAGGCTAAAAATTTAAAATGCAAGTTTCCTTGCCATAGAGCTTGGTAAGTTCCATGTTGAGAGTGACTTGAAATCAAAAGCGGTTTTAAAATGGGAATGACTAAAGGGTAACCAGAACAACAAGAAAAATGATCATGAATAACAAAGGCAGAATTAAAAAATGAGAGGATTTTTTATTTCAGAAGTTTTATACTTGAAACTTAGGTTGAGTTGAACATTTTGAACATAATGTCACCTTGGCAGTGGGGAAGTTTTCTTAGATGGTGGTGGAGAGCGCCCTCGCTTAGCTTCTTCAACAGGACTGAAGTAAGACGTTAACTTGAAGGTCAGAAAAATATCACGTCGGTCAATTAGAAAGATGAGAACAACGCATATACATAAACCATTTCAACTGAATACCCACAAAAAGGTGCAAGGAACAGTTCGAAAGACCTACAAAAATAACACGCCAAGCCAGTTTTCCTTCGAGTAACAAAAATATTTGACCTAATTACAAGATTGAGCACNAATTGAAATCCCTCTCCGATAAACCCTACTTAGAGCGAGAAATACAAGAGAAAAGCACAACGGGTTGATATTGAGCCGTTTGCTGTGAAAAGGGTGCTATTACTGGAAAAGAGAAAAATGGGCTGTAAAGCAATTTGGGCGGGCCGTGTTAGAATTTAGGCTTTAAATTATTCATATCAAGATTAAAAAGGGAAATATTTATATGTCAGGTGTATTGTTTATACCAATTCACAAATCAGGTACAAAGTTTAAAAATTCAAAATTCAGGTTTCTGTATAATTAGTTGAAAATATTTATTAATTAAAATAATAAAGTCACAGTTACACGATTGATGATCACAGATTCATAATTATTGGTTACATATCATCGAATTAATTGGTTACAAATTATTTCGAGGTCACAAATCAAAAAATTTGTAGGACACATTTTATTTTGAGGTTACAGATAAAAATTTTACAAATCACAAATTATTTTATTGGTAACAGATCAAAAAAATTAAAAGTCACAGGGTCACATATGTTCAAATTTATTGGTCATATATTTTAAATAGTTGGTCACATACACCAAATACCTCCACCATCGATCTCGATCCAACACCAATCTTTGTCACAAATCACCACAGCGCAATTGCCGCTTGCACTGTACCATCGATTGCACCGCACCAATCTACAACCTTCCATAATCGCAACCACAACTTCGGCACACACCACTGAACAAATTGTGAGTCACCATAAGCCCACTAGCACTACCACAATGTCACCAACATTGAAATTGCTGAAGCCACCACCTCAAATCCACGTATCACCCAACAAAAATAACCCCCACTCCACCATCGGAACCAACTGAGCTCCACATCATCTCACCACACAACACTATCTGCACCAATTGAACCACTACTGTTGCACCACAACCACCTGCACAAAACACCACCACCTATCAAAACTCCGGCTAAGTAGTAGATTTGATCAAAAAACCAACCACCAATGAACCATCCACAGCAAATCGAATTAGAAAAATTATTGACAAACTCCATCAACCACCAACAAATGCAGTTGCACACAGAGGAAGAAACCACCACACAAAAATCGAGTAGTGGCACGGCGGTGCTCAATGTTGCTTCGCACAGTAGAAACCTCCATAGCCGGTACTATAATTCGACTGTAAGCACAACCGCGTGACGCTGCTGTGAGCTGACTCCGATGCTCACAGGTCAGATCAACAGTGTGACTTCGACCGGTAAGATCACTCGGCACCATCGCAGCAACTATGTCGGTGCTCGACTCTCACATCTTCGACGGTGGCGACGCTCCTCAACATTGACGGTTATCGATGGAGGGTAGAGAGAGAGGAGAAGTCATCGTGGGGAGAGAGACGGTATTGAAAATTGAAAATGGGAGAAATGATTTGGGTTTTTAATTGAATTGAGGATTAATTATATATAGTACCTGAATTTTGCATAAATAAACTTTACCCCTGAATTTTGAATTTGAAAGTTTAATTACCTGATTTTATGTAATTTTCCCGATTAAACGTCTCTCTCCCCACGATGACTTCTCCTCTCTCTCTACCCTCCATCGATAACCGTCAATGTTGAGGAGCGTCGCCACCGTCGAAGATGTGAGAGTCGAGCACCGACATAGTTGCTGCAATGCGGCACCATCGCAGCCGACGATATGAGTGATCTTACTGGTCGAAGTCACACCGTCGATCTGACCTGTGAGCATCGGAGTTAGCTCACAGCAACGTCACGCGGCGTCGTCGTGGTTATGCTTACAGTCGAATTATAGTACCGGCTATGGAGGTTTCTACTGTGCGAAGCAACATTGAGCACCGCCGTGCCACTGCTCGATTTTTGTGTGGTGGTTTCTTCCTCTGTGTGCAACTGCATTTGTTGGTGGTTGATGGAGTTTGTCAATAATTTTTCTAATTCGATTTGCTGTGGATGGTTCATTGGTGGTTGGTTTTTTGATCAAATCTACTACTTAGCCGGAGTTTTGATAGGTGGTGGTGTTTTGTGCAGGTGGTTGTGGTGCAACAGTAGTGGTTCAATTGGTGCAGATAGTGTTGTGTGGTGAGATGATGTGGAGCTCAGTTGGTTCCGATGGTGGAGTGGGGGTTATTTTTGTTGGGTGGTACGTGGATTTGAGGTGGTGGCTTCAGCAATTTCAATGTTGGTGACATTGTGGTAGTGCTAGTGGGCTTATGGTGACTCACAATTTGTTCAGTGGTGTGTGCCGAAGTTGTGGTTGCGATTATGGAAGGTTGTAGATTGGTGTGGTGCAATCGATGGTACAGTGCAAGCGGCAATTGCGCTGTGGTGATTTGTGACAAAGATTGGTGTTGGATCGAGATCGATGGTGGAGGTATTTGGTGTATGTGACCAACTATTTAAAATATATGACCAATAAATTTGAACATATGTGACCCTGTGACTTTTAATTTTTTTGATCTGTGACCAATAAAATAATTTGTGATTTGTAAAATTTTTATCTGTAACCTCGAAATAAAATGTGACCTACAATTTTTTTTGATTTGTGATCTCGAAATAATTTGTAACCAATTAATTCGATGATATGTGACCAATAATTATGAATCTGTGATCATCAATCGTGTAACTGTGACTTTATTATTTTAATTTATAAATATTTTCAACTAATTATACAAAAACCTGAATTTTGAATTTTTAAACTTTATACCTGATTTGTGAATTGGTATAAACAATACACCTGACATATAAATATTTCCCTTAAAAATCCCAATCACAAGTGCGCTTTACAAGATCAAAGTCGAGTTCAAATAGTAAGAGTAAAATCTTATCAAGTCACTAATATGTGACTAAGTCTCTATAGGATAAAGCAGAAAAAAATAAATAGAAATATAAATAAAAAGTTCGTAACGTGGTCATTGACACTTTTTAACCGTCTTTTTGATAGAAAAATCAAAAACTCCAAATCCACTCGACCGCTCCTTCAAGATCTTAATCATGCCAAAGGCAAAACCATCATCTTTTTATTCTTCAATCTACGAAATTCTCATAGCAATCTAGAAATTATTAGTTTGATTTAATGATCGAGTGTAAGTTAAGTATAAAAATTATTCACAGCTCCACTTCTTGCAAGCGCATTTTTGCAACCTAAAAGAATGGATTAGGTTTTCAGATTCTCTTTAATTCAAATCAAAAGAAAAACAAAAAATTCACTTGCTTTTTCTTTCGACATGCAAGGAAATTTCTTTCAGAATTTAGATATGTCCATGCAGTGTTCATCTTCGCAGGGGTTACTACGGTGACAGCAGTTCAGTTTCTTTAACAATCGCAGGTGTTCAACTTCTTCTGGAACAATATGTGTTATATTTAATTATCGATAGGAGGAAATTTGACATATTATTGAGACTCTTACTGATTGCTGTATTGCTCTCGTAAAAGACAAAATTACTAATATTTCCTCTTCAAAATGTAATCGAGCAGTATGCCCCCATCGAGTTAAAATTGTAGCTCCATCCCTCTGGACACGGAGTTGTGATTCATTGTGAAAATGAAATATGGTGATCCATAAACTCGCTTCCTTTGCTACTTTAGCATTAGAAGTTGACTGATTTCATGTGGATATATTGTATACCTTCACTTTTTTGCCGATGATTGGCAACAGTATCTCTTCATAGAGTGTCGATTGTTCGGTTTCAAAAATAATAATTATTTTTTATCCATGAAACCATTCTTTATCATAAAATTGGCACAAAATAAATTTAGCTAACCCAAAAACCAGCGTTCCGTTCATTTTAAATTTTAGCCTACCCCTAAAATCAAATGTTCTCTAACATATATTTTTCTCATCATTCAAACAAAATAAAATCATGACTCGTGAGTTTATTCTTTATTACAACAATTTAAAAAAAGAATTGATAATCATAAAGCAGAAATGCACATAATAATGTGACCGAAAAATCTTGTGAAATTTTTCAAGATTCACAGCCACAATCTAACATTAACCAACAAATACAAATAATTCTCAATTGTTCGGTTTCAAAAATAATAATTATTTTTTATCCATGAAACCATTCTTTATCATAAAATTGGCACAAAATAAATTTAGCTAACCCAAAAACCAGCGTTCCGTTCATTTTAAATTTTAGCCTACCCCTAAAATCAAATGTGCTCTAACATATTAATTTTTTTCATCATTCAAACAAAATAAAATCATGACCCGTGAGTTTATTCTTTATTACAACAAGTTAAAAAAAGAATTGATAATCATAAAGCAGAAATGCACATAATAATGTGACTGAAAAATCTTGTGAAATTTTTCAAGATTCACAGCCACAATCTAACATTAACCAACAAATACAAATAATTCTCACTACAGTACACATTCGCGATTAACTCGAGAAAAACTTTAATTAGATCGACTCGACAGATACCAAGTCCATACATAAATTCTTACTAAGGTTTAGAAGACATAGAGTTCTGCCAATTCCTCCAAAGATTCAGAAGTGAGATTAGGTTCAGCATTATCAAGCATCCACAGAAGATGATCGAACAGAACCACCTCACATTTGACAGAGAGATTTCCTTCTGCATTCTGCTTCGATTTTTCAATGAGAGCATTCAATAGAGGATGATTTAAGTACTTGGTACTTATCATATATCTTTTTCTTGTACTTCCCACAAAAATTGTTTCATAGTTATGATCTTGCATGTCAGTTGCAGAAGAAATCCATTTTTCTTCTCTAGTTGACTTGGACCGCAAGCTACTGTACGATGATGTTCTTGTGAGTTGCCTTGACAATGTCTTGCATTTCCTCAGTATCGAATTGATCTTCTTCATGGATCTTGAGTGTGTGTTTCTGTGGGTTTTTCTTTTTGTTTATGGAAGAAGACTGAGGAGAGAGATATCTTGATATATACTCGGTGCAAATTGGAGGAAAAAATGTGGGTACAAAGTCACTGTTTTTCGGTGCTTGGAATTTGTGACCCACTTACAACCCAAATATTTTGAATGACATAAACATTCCATCTTCCTTTGGTGGGGCATCCGCAATCAATTATATTATCTAGGTTCTGTACATGAATCTCTCTCTCAAGAAATTTGGACAATATTATTGTGCCTGGTAAATTAAAGAATAAAACAAGTTTTGAGGGTAATTCTTGGATCTTCGAAAATCTTGAAAAATAATGATTGCGTGTTTGGTACACAGTATGATAGGAGACGTCCGAAAATCCACCACAAGCACTATTCAATTGGGTCTTTCATTGAATTACCAAGTGAACATAACATCATGCTTTACATCATTTTCTGCTCTTGAATGATTGATTACATATGAGATTCACAACTCAGATACCAACAAATAAAGAGTGATATACAATTACTTTTCTCAAAAATTATAGTTGATAGGAGATACACAATCAAACTTTTATCTTACTCAATATCAAACCTGGAATTCAACTTGAGCGCTAATCATTTAGGCCTTATGTCGATAATTTCCTTACGAACCATCATGTTCAAGTGATGCTCCATATTACAGAATAAAACACTTTAACTTCTTCTTTTTTCCTCTCTCAATAGTAACTGATACTTTTAATTCAAGCATGTCGAACGTGTCATTAATTTGTCTTATATGGAATTAGAGTTTCCATAACGACTAAAGGCAATCGTGAAAGGCTTTTCATGACAGCTAATATGGTACAGTAAAATCGACTTTCCAATAAACTTGTGCGCCTGAATTGATATTCTACCTTTTTAGATAAAACAATATTCATTCAAAATAAAATAATACTATGTAGAAACATTATCTGAATGCGTATATATCACGCTTGTCTGAAGATGAGATCAATGATCGGATGTGAAGTAAATCTCTTCAGGTGCCTTTGTCTATTTTTAACTTCTATACCAACTTTTGATTGGAATATGCAGATATTCTCGTTTAGATAAAAGTTGTTTTGATTATATTAATACACTTATCCATATGTTAAGACGATAAACATTGTAACTAACTCGAGTATTGCATGAGGTTTAAAGTTGGCTTGTGAAATTCACGAGAGTTTTCAGATTTCATTAAACTTCTCATCAGGGGTTTATGTTCTGAAACGAGCTAGATACCTATGAACATTTATTCAATTTGAAAGATCAAACTATTGAAGATGGAAAAGATATATTCGTTTGTAATTTAATGAATATGGATATGAACTGGCTGTGAATCCTTTTATTGGTTAAGAGACAAAATGTATGCACCACGTGTACATTTTGTCAAGAGTTACAACCTTCCACATGCCTTTCTTATTGCAATCACGTCTACGTCGGCCTGACCTTCAATGATTGGTGCCTAAGATTCAGGCACATCTACTTAAACAACGCGCCTTATCATGTATACCAAACATATTGGACTTCGCATAAGGTTCAAGAACACAAATAGTATGCATCTAGGGCCATTTAAACAACACTCGTGCTTAAAAGGCATCATTGAATAATTGTATGTGAAACCTTGGTTAAACTATCGAGGATTGTTCTATTCGGATTTGAGAGCAAAGAAAAAATCACTCGCGGCCTAATCTCTATCTTTATCTCATTCTCAAGATAGTGCAACTCTAAAATATTTTAAGATTTTTTTCTTTGTTTCCTTTCTCAACTTCTAGAGTTACTACTCTTCAACTACGTACTAACATTTAAGAGTATTCTCAATCCAATTTCTATCATCATCATCGCAACTTGCAGATAAAATCGATAGGTTGACTCTAAGTTAACAAATTGAAAAAAATAAATAAGTAAAATAAAAGGATAAACAAGATTAAAATTATTCCATTAATATGGATTTATCATGCTCATTTTAGGAAACTTTATAATGGTATTTGTAAGCACTGTCGATAGCAGTCTATGTGACATTGACTCACTGTCATTGTAGAGTTCTTGGTAAGCGTAATTCATGGTAATACCGACAGGCAGCGGGTTTTGAGCATGCAATCTAGGAACCGAGAAAATAAACAACCATGTTCGGCGGACCAAATTCCCGCAAGAGGACAATTGCAAGACAGTAGGAACAAAAATAGTCAAAAGTAAAATTGACTAGCTGTCCAAGTTTGAGTCGTGAGTCATGAGATCGGGTAATGAACTTGGAAATCCACCTTCTACAACCAATCGTACTGAATTACTCTTTATATCTCCTGTCTTTCCTTAACCACTAACATAGAAAACGATTACGCTAAATTTGAAAATTATCATCAACAGCTCGACGAAATTGTGAAATCTAACCTACCTTCTTTAATCTTTATTGACATGACTCAAAATCTCTCTAAAGCATAGATCTTGAACTTGCTGATCTTTTTATTTTACTTTTTCATTTTTTTGGGGTGAGGGAGGCACATGTTAATTAGTTCCTAGAATTACTCACAGGAAAATTAATGATAATCCACTGGTTACACGTCTCCCATTTTTGGGCAGGCAAGCTTAAGGACCTAATTGTGTTACTGTTCAATTACAATTAAACAGCAATTACAGCCTAACAGCTGGCCACAGCATTGCTGTTTTAGTAGATTAATGAGATCGCTTAGCTTCAAAGCAAATAAAAGAGTACTTTGTGTTTTGCTTAGAAGCAAATTCAAAAGCTGTCAAAATCAAATACACCACAAAACCTTCAACAATAACACACATCAATGGCAAGCCAGCCAGACCCAGAGCGGAGCGGGAACAAGGTTCCCAAAAACCGGCCAGAGCCAGGATCGGCATGGTAACAAACGTTCCAAAGAAAAGAAACAAGAATTGGTAACAATTAATGCAAGTCACAAAATAAATGAATTGTCAACTGACGAGCAAAAACTAAGCATTCATGGTTTTCATGTGAGTTGTGACATTGGCTGCAAAGCCCGAATCCTAACAAACTTGATAGGCATTAACAAGGCAGTTCGGTATCAATAAAATTCTTATCAGACGTTAAAACCAGAATTACAAATTAGATTCACACATCTTTACATAAGCATGTGCACGTTGGAATAGAACATGCAATGATGTACATCCATGACCCAATTAATACTGAAAGGAAACTAACAAACAAATGTTAGAAGGATCATTGAGATTTTCCAATTTTCATCCGTACTGTTTTAAATTACTCGAATTCAAGGATTTCAAGAGATCCAGAAGCAGAAACTAGTTTAACTATTTGTACTAATCTTCAGCTCCCCCTTTCCCCAGTGAGATCTGATAATCTGGAAATATTCTGTGTGCCATTCCACACTGCGGGAGCATGCAGACTCCTGCAGTTTATGTAATACCAAATAAACAGAACAAGGCAAGTGGGTGGACTCATAAGTTAAGTGCCTAGAATCAAACATCATATCGCTACATAAGTCCAACCAAATCGTTTAAGAAATTCAGTTCTTTCTGCCACGATCACGATCATGGTCACGGATGCGGTCATCATTAGACCTTCTTGTATCAGCAAACGGTTTTTCACCTCTTCGTTTGTGATCATCATGCATCATTCTGTTATTTGACTCTCCTCTGATGCCCCGTCTACTGTTATCATAGGTCACTTCGTCCCGGTGGCTCCCCCGAAGATCATCATCAGCAGTCCTCCTTTTAGAATCTCTTCCGTTATTCCTGTCTCCACGCCCAACATCTGCATGCCTCTCTTTGTACTCTCCCTCACCCTGCTTGTATCTATGACTAGCCTCTGCATGGCTCTTTTCATAGTCATGCTTCTCCCCCTTATCCATATGGCCAACATCAGCGCGTCTTCTCTTATAATTTTCCTCATCTGCCCTGCTCCTGCTGCCAGCGCCATCAGCTTTTCTTCCACGATCCCATGCTTCTTTTGCTGGGTAATCTCTCTCTCTTCCCCCATATGGGCTCATCCGACGCCGTACATGCCTCTCATCTTCCTCGTGATCTTTGTTTCTTTCCCTCCTGTGCAAGTCATGTGAACCTCTTTTTCTGTCGTCATGATTTTTGCGGTCAAAAGAATTTCCCCATTTCATATGTTGTTTCTGATCATGATTTTCAGCTTTATGGTCTCTTCTCGTTTTACTTTGTCTGGGACTTCCAGTAGGATCTTCATCAAATACCATTTCAAACCTTGAACAGATAATCTAGAGAGATTAGATAAATGGATAATACGGAGAGACATTTCTAGTAGCACAATAAGTTATCAACCTTGTATTATCGTCTCCACCATGTTGAGTGTTAACATCCTTCAATATGTACTTGGAATGTTGCTGCTGGATGGTAGGATCCCCAGTGCAGTCTTTAGCAACATGATCAAGAGAACCGCATTTGAAGCAACCTCCTCCTGCAATGAATAATTAATTTAGGATCTCAATTGATCACAACATGGTGCTAACTCTAGATGAAAACTATAAACCCTATATCTCTTTTAATTTTATAGTTAAATACTTAATTATCAGAAGGAAAAAAACAGACTTTTTATGAAGATTGTTATTATAGGAGAATCCAAATTTCTCCACGAACCTCAAACATCCTCATTGCTTTCTCCAACTTATTGACTGTAAGAGGAAACACCATCGTGAATACTAGCTGGGTCCTGAAGTGAGAGGTAAGAAAAAGAAAAGATACTGGACAGGTGTTTTGAACTTTAACTGCCAACTTAAATTGCACATTTCGAGTGGACTCAGATGTAACTAAAATTTATCCAAAACGCTGTCCATTGTCGTCTTGGCATTTTTCGAAGAAAAAATCCAAACGAACAGTTTTGCAGGCACAGAAATATTTCGAGAAGATAACACAGCAACCACAATACCATGTAGCTACCGACATCAGATGAGGCAAAAAGGGAGCAAGGGGAAAAAGGGACAAAAGATGGAACAAACACCACGTTATAGTTATCTAGGTCAGTGGTTCTTTATTTTTATTATCTGGGGTCTTAGACTGTGATCTACTAATTATTGTCAACAAACTAGAGTACAGATCAAATGATACAAAATGAGATGCCCACCTTTACCCGCTTGGCCTTTGCGTCTATACTGGGACCATAGTTTTGCAACACTTTGACTAAAATCAACGTGAATCCTTCGATCATCAATAAGAGCATTATCCATCTGTCACATAAGTAGCAGGAACCGCCATAAATAAGTTTTGCCTGATTAGTGAAGCACGAAACAAGTTTCCTCCAAAAAGTAAAGCACCAGATGGCATGTTAATGAATCATAAGCAAGGACGAGTTGTTTATTTATATCAGAAATCTTTTTTCTTCAGTATGCATTCATTCAGCAGCCCACTAGTGCAGGTTTAATTGTATTACACTCGAAAAGAAGCAAATAAAACATATATCGATATTTTCTGCAAAGACCGACGCAACAAAAATAAACAACCAAATAACCATTCCAAGGAAACTTAAAAGTTCCTTCCCAGTAAATCTTTTAAAATCTTTCCGAGCACAGATAAAAAGTTAACCAGTAGTCAATTTTGAGATTCTTGAACAAGGAAATAAAGAGAAAAACTAAAAATTGGAATCAAAACAGATTGACAGCTCAGTGAGCATGATTAGTTACTAAAAAGAATACAGATGAAAGTGTCGAAAATACAAATCTAGACCCCTTCTGACCGCAGAGCTATTGTATGCTTTAGCCCCTGTTTGAGACTTATTTCTTGAGTACAGATTTTGTAAAAAAGTGCTTTTTTCAGATTATTTCCAGAGAAAACTTTCAGCATCTAAATTCCATTCTACTGTATAGTGCAGATATACTGTGGCACATCAGGGAACTTCTGAGGCAAAATCTCAGAAATCGTATATGCTTCCCTTGACGCCCCTCTAAAAAAATTTATCTCGTGAAGATTTTCTTGAAATTACATTGTCAAAATTAACTTTGCAGAGGGCATGGAAGCATGAATTAGATCAATCCTAGCTGACAAACAAATCAAGATAAGCACATCAAGGTAGAACTAGTTATATCGATAAGAAATATCAGGCAAATTAGCAGGAAGACAGAGTTGAGAAAGCAAACATAAACGACAACGGTAAGTTATTCTGTACCTTAAAATATGCCTGTTCACAGGCTTCTTTGTCCTCGAATTCTGCCATAAAGAAGCAGGTGTAAGAATAATGAGATGTAAACTAAGCGTATAAACATTAACAAAAGGAACAGGCCACCGACGAGTCAAAAAGTACACAGGACCAGGTCAAGGTATAAAGCTGGCGGGAAAATTGTATAATGATAATATTTCTCCAAAGGTTGAATTTTATTAATTTTCAGACCAAATAGGGATGTTTTGAGAGGATCGTTGTATTATCCCTCTGTCCCTAAACATTAGCCTCCCCTTTCTTCACTTGAAAAAAATTATTGAGGCCTAAACAGTGAAATCAATTCTTGCTGTCACTTGATCAAAACTAACTAGAAAAGCTGAATAGCAAAAGAAGTCCACACAAGCACGTAAACTTGTGGTCACAGCAACTAAATCATGCGCATAAAATTGTAAGCTAACTATTTACCCTGATGCATAGAATTGGAGGAAGTCCATGGTCTATATAGAGCCATTTACAGATATAAATATTCACAAAATAGCCTGACTGACAAATAAGCAGGCAAACATCCTCAAGCCAGATATTCTTTTTCACGTATGACAAGGTAAATGAATAATTACACAATGAAACTAGTGTATAAATAAACGAACACTAATAGAGACATGGAAAAGTGAAAGTATTCCGTTCTCACAGATATGATAGACAAGGAAATCAGAGGTAACTATGAAAGAAGAATACATGTACCAATAAAAGCATAGCACAAACTATCTCCGGTTTTGTAATCTCGGATAACTTCTGCACTGCCAATTTTAGTTGGCCATCAGAAAAGAATGGAAATTATAAATCATAGGAAAAATGAGGATCGAATATGCCTGAGTATTTTAAAAACTCACGAAGTTACAGTTCCGAAGCGTGAAAATATTGTGTGCAAGTCCTCATCCTAGAAACACAAGTAAACAGTAAATAACGATTCATCAGAAGAGGAAGACTAATTTTATAACACCCTGGTGGGGGGATGGGGGCTTAGAGAGAACCTTAACTCTGTCCAGAAAAATTAGAGGGTGGTAGCAGGATTAACATGCATTCAAAACTGGGAAATTTTGAAACAATAGCAAGTAAAGTCTGGAATTGTGTCGAACAATGACAAAATTGTTTCTCAAAAAATTGAACAGTATGATCCTTAGTCATATACCTTACCCAATATCTTTAAAAGCCCTCTACACTAATAACATTACCCAAAATATAAGAGCCCTTCCCTGACCATTTCAAACCATAAATCTACATGCATAAAACATGGAAAATACATTCTTGACCGTCTAATTCATAGCGAGTTAATTTATAAGCAGAAAACTTTTATAGTGATTTATTACCTCATCTTTTGGTTTTCCTTCAGGTGAAGCATCAGGAATGAACTCAGCTAGTTGGGGAGGATCATCAAAAGGATCATCCAATATGTACGTGTGCTTGATTCTATGTGAAACATTGGATTTGATGGTTAGAAGAGAGAAAAATGCTGAAATAATATGCACAACTTACCGTACAACATTGAAGGAATAATGCAATAAATATAAAAGGTGACCTAATATTTTTGTAAGGCCTGCCCTTTGCATCCACATAGGCTTCATTTATTCTGGTAAGCGTATCTAGACCTTCCGCAACCTCCCCAAATACCTGACAGTTGAAATCAGAATTGTATTATTCCAAAAGGCTGGAAGAATTGTTTGGACAAAAACGCATCATGTGATAAATAATCAATCAGAAAAAGCATCCAAAAAGTTGCGTCCCAAATTGGCTAACTACCCTTCATTTTTTCAGGCTAGCAAACAAAACTAAATGCCTAAAGTTGAGAAAATATCAACATATTGCACATCTTACTCTCTCTCTTTTTCTTTCTTAATAGGAGGGGGAGCGTAACATACTATTCGAAGGGAAATAATTTGACACTCAACTTAAAACGGTTTTCTAGATCTCACAAAATAACAGAGGAGATAATAGAGAATGTACTTATCATGACTTGAGCAGAACAAATCAAGTTCATCCTACACGTAAAACCAGTAAAATAGGCATCTCGTATTCCTTTTTTTATTTTGGGTGGAGGTGGAGTGTAGCATCTTGTATTCAGTGAGAAAAAAAGACTCAAAGAAATTGAATACTATAGCCCACAAAGTTCTGGATTAGAAAACTTACAGTGTGCTTTCCATCAAGATACTCGAGGTCATCACGCAGTGTGATGTAGAACTGAAAGGAGAAAGGTGCATCCATTAGGCATATAAAATACAGAGAGTTTTATAACGGTATATCAAGAGAAGGGAAGGAAACACTTGAAATTCTCTCGAGTAGAATACAGAATATGGAAAGGGTAGTGTACCTGGGACGCATTAAGATTCTCTCCAGCACTAGCCATGGAAACAGTACCAATCTTTGAATGTTTTACATCCAAATGAATTTCATCCCCAAAAAAGCGAGCCTGATCACCATACAGGAATCTGAAAATTGCAGATTTTGAAATGTTATTGCATTGTAACTCGATTTGAAATGTTAAGAAAATATGTAAATAATAGAAAAATTTAAGGAACTTTTTTTTAGAACAGGTTTTACCATACCCACACGAGAAAGAATCAATATAAGATATATACAATTAAAAATGGGTATTTAACAATAGTGATCAACTTGAGCATATATTCTTACTTGTATACAGAATCGCCACCTGATCCTGTTCCAGTAGGATCACCTGTCTGGGCAGTGAAATCTTTTTGTACCGTGTGGAAGAGGCAGCCATTGTAATATTTAATCCTGCATCAGAAACAGAACAAAATACAGTTGTGTTATCTAATGTAATATGCTACAAATAAAATTTGTTACCAGTAAAGAAATGCAGGAAATATACAACAGAAGCAACAGAAGTTAGAAGATCAAATATTCGGCTAAATGTGCTTCCACGAGTAGATTTCGTTCAAACAGAACAGAACCCTGCATATAGATTCAGGCCATCTCCAACCACAACACCATTGCACCATTTTGCACCATTTTTTGGTGCAAAATTGCTCCAACCCAACACCAACCTTTGCACCATTTTGCACCAAAATGGTGCAAGTGTAAAATGTCAATTTTGCCCTTATTTTACATTTCCCAAATAAATTTGTTGAGGGTATTTATGTAATTTGTGCTATATATTTTTTAATACAATAAATTATTATTATTTTTATTAATATTAATAATTATTTGTGTTTAAAATAAATTTTAAATGTAAGACATAATAATTAATTAATTAATTAAAAGACGAAAATAATTTAAAATACATCAAACACGATTAATTAATTATTTATTTAGTAATTTATGTATTTCTGAAATAATTAAATAAATAATATTTCAAATAAGTAGATTATAAAGAATAAAAAAAGGAAAGAAAATGGTTAAATACTGTTCATTTGGTGTAATTTTTGGTGTAATGGTTGGAGATGAATTTTGGTTTGGTGCAAAATTTGGTGCTGGGTTGGAGATGGCCTCATTGTTAATTCCAACTAATTTCAGTATGAAACGAGTCATTAGTCTCTACAGAGCAAAAATTATTGAAATTGCGCAAGCATCGCAAATATTTAAGCAGAAAAACTTGTAAAAAAATTATTCAAACATTTCGAGGGTACAAATACATGACAAATAAAAATAATTTCGAAATAAGATTAATGTGGATAAACTCTTTAAATGTGTACTTACTTGCAAAGCTTGAGAAAATTTTTGCAGGTCAAGGGGCAGCGATCTGTGTATAAATCCATCACTATGTCTCCCAAGCTCGTCACTATCATAACCGACATTTTCACCCAATTTTTTGAATTCCGTCGCAAATTTAGGAAGCGGAAGAATTTGGCGTTTCGTTCATACTAGTTCCAGAGACGGAGCGGAGTGAGGGTGCGGACAGGGGCAGAGGTAGGAATTAATGCTACGAGGGGCAAAAAATTTTTAAATTTAATGTACAAATAAAATTTATATATAACAAGAAAAATCGTAATATAACGTTACTTATTATTGTTGTACCCGGAGATATTTTAGAGCATAAAATTGATCTATCCCATAAAGACATAATTGCATAAACATAAAATTGATAGAACCAATTAACCATAAACCATCAACACAAATTACACAATTGCACGATAGGTTCACAGTAGATAGCCCATTGATAATAATAACTAATAGCTTTGTTGATTGTTACCAGCAACGTTCCAGTACATTATCTAATCTTTTTTTAATATAGTCAATAGATAGCTTTCCTGCCGTTCCAATTCCAAGAACCAAGATACTAGCCTTATTTAATTGCACAAAGCAAAATGAAAGGAAAGGCAAAGTAAACTAAAATTTCTGGTTCCTAGTAGGCAGGGCCGATCCTGTGATTGTCAGGACCTGAGACGAATTCCATAAATTAGGCCCCGGCGAAATCAACGTAAATACAAAATTCAACGATATATTATGCGACCTATTGCTAACTTAAAACTAACATTAAAAAAATCGCCAAATATATTATAGAAAAGATTTATATTATCATATTTAGGAGGCATAGCGTATGAGTCTATATCTAATGTCCAATGATGAACCTAAAAATCAATTACAAAATACCTCAATCATCTCACAATTACAATTTTCAATATAGTTACTATGTACGCCTATGCAATTGTTCATCCTACAATAACTAATCATATAAGTCGACCAGGCCGCAATTATATAAGCCGACAAGGATTCAAACATTTCCCATATCTTCAATAACAAGTAAGGGCAAGCCATTGCTTACCTGAGAAGTGAAATTTCGACGAAAATTGTGGAATTAAACCCTTGAAAATTCTACCGTCGTAGCTCACAAGTCTAAAATAAAAATTTTAATAAAATCAAAGATTTATACACTACTTAAGATCATTTTTTATGTAGAATCAATATACTGGTCAAGAAATTCTGCCTCTTCTGCTCCTCTCTTCTTCTGCTGCTTCTTCTCTGCGCTTCTTCCTCCTTCCTATGGTTGTAAGATGTTCTCTATCTATGCTACATCACTTTTATATTTGTGATTTAACACAAAATTGATTGTGCTCTTTATTTCTAAATAGTTATTATGATAGTTTAACTTACAAGTTATCAAATTCAAGTAAAATTAAATTTAGGGCATTGTCGCATTGTAAGAAGTTATCCAAATCAATTGATTCAATTAAAACCGTAATAGATCTGCATATGATTTGATAATCATACATTTACAGAAGAAATTTATAAATGTGTCTTAACATGCCTTAGGTAAATACGAATTTATGAACAAAACAATGGATAAAATATGGTTTGAACTTTGAAGTGAAGTAACAGATCTTGGTGTCCAATTGGTAAATGCCTAAATGGTAATCACTAATCATGCCAAAATACAGACAATCGGATGAATTATATACAATTTTTTCCAAATTCGCTAGTTTCCCAGAAATCAAAAGAGACGACGGTGCACTTTTATTAGTTTATATTTAAGTATTTGATATTTTGACTAAAAATCTACTAAAATATAATTTTAATTCAAAATTAACAGCCCCAACCCCTCCTTTTCATCCTGCATTTCTTTCAATCCTTTTCCTAATTCCTTCTCACGCTTCCTCAACACTGCTTGAGCATTAAACAATCCTTCCAATCCTGCCTCCTGCATCTTCCTCAACTCCCTAATATCACTATTCAAGCTCTCCACGAGTTTATTTATGGCTTTTTTTTAAAAACCTCAGCTGGATCCTCCATTATCCTTCCCGAACTATAAGCACTCCCAGACAAACAGGGACTATAACTTATATCAGTTCTTTTCCAACATATTAAAAATGTTTAAACAGTTAAAATTAGGACCGGTCCTATGATTGTCGGGCCTCGAGGCGAAATCCATAAATTAGACCAGCCGACGAAATCAACATAAATACAAAATTCAACGATGTATTATGCAACATATTGCTAACTTAAAACTAAAATTAAAACAATGACCAAATATATTTTAGAAAAGATTTATATTATAAAATAACAAAACCAACAATGTTTCAAACAATTAGTTAAATACTATTCTTTGAATTAATGCAATTTCATTTCGTTTCTTTTTTCTCTTTTGAGCACCAGACTCAAATTTAGGAGGCATGGTGTACGAGTCTATATGTAATGCCCAATTATTAACCTAAAAACAATTACAAAATATCTCATTTATTTCACAATTATAATTTCCAATATAGTTACTACGTGCACTTATACAATTGTTCATCCTACAATAACCAATCATATAAGACAACCAAGCCGCAATTATATAAGCCGACAAGGCTTCATACATTTCCAATATTTTTAATAATAAGTTAGGGCAAGCCATTGCTTACCTAAGAAGTAAAATTTCAATGAAAATTGTGGAAATACACCCTTGAGAATTCCATTGTCACAAACTCATGAACCTGAAATAAAAATTTAACATCAAGCACAAATACAAATATGAACATGATCATCAAACTTAGGGAAGTAACAACTGCACAGGCACATTTAATCAAACTTAGGGAAATAGTACATTTGATAAGAACTAATCACTATTAAAACAGTGTCGTCGACAAAATACATTAATTAAAATTTATCTTTTATGCTAGGGGACAAACACATGGATGCTATTTGTCTATTTACATAAATTTATACCTTCTACCATTTTTATCTTGAAATGCCTTGAGTGAATTAGCAAGGCAAACAACTCAAAAGAAACCACTTATTTACTTCCTATTTCTTCATGAAAGGAGTAATTGTCCAACATTCTTCTAGTCTTTCACTTATATACTTCTTCGATTTCACATAGCCACGTCTAATCCACTACCCACTCCGTCCTTTCCTTACGACATGTTAACCATACAAGTAAAGCAACGGTTAATTGCAAATCAAGGCCTCGACTACATCACTGTTCTGTAACCTCCATAGTGGAGGCACTAACGGACATTTTTGTTAAAATTCCAACGCTTTGTATAACCAAGAAATTACTCTCACTCAAGCAATTCAAATCCAAAGCATTTAAGAGTATAATCGCTCACAATTCACAAACTTCCTGTTTTCTTTGTCTTCGTCCCGGGAATCTTGCTGCAATTACAGATTAGTTAGTAGTAGAGTACAGACCATCTGCAAAGTGCAAAGATAACGTTAAAAAACAATATTGTGAGATTTAAAATTTTTCATTTCATGTGACCAACTGTCCAGTGACCATGTCAACAAATCTGTAGGCACTAGGCAGGCATGATGCACCGAAACGAAAATGGGACAATTCCATTTGGAATAACATGATAAAGACGAGTGATTTACTTGCTGCTTAATACAATGAAAACCCATTTGGAAAAACATGATTAACAACAAACCTGTTTCCAGATTTCTAATTCTTCGTGTAAATGATGGTGTGTTCTTCCTCAATGATTGAAGTTTCCTCGTTTGTTCTATCCTAACAACAGTGACCAACCGGCGTCCGGAGCGACCGGCGGCTGACTGGCGGAGTGACAGGAGTCGCGGAGACCAACGAGCAGGCCCGAGGATTACCGAATTGGGAATTTTGGGATTTCAGATTTTGGGAATTTAGGGGAAATTAGGGTATATGGATCGTGGATATATAAGTTGGGTGGGTAAATAGATTGAGGGGATAGGATTTGGGCTCATGAGTCGTGGGCTCTTGTTGGATAATTGGGTCTGGGCCCTGTTTTGAAAAATGAAAAAAATAATAACAGGTTCCAGGCCAAAATTAGGCCCCTGCCCATCTTGGGCTTGAGGCGTAGGCCTCATAGGGTTAAAATAGACAATTTTGATTATTAAAAAGGTAAGAAAAGATACATTTTCTAATGGAAATTTATAATTTAGGAACCATTGGGTAGCCATTCTTTTTCCCCATTACATTTTTCGACCGTTTGGTGTCCCATCTCTGACACAGCATGTGAAGGTATACAGGCGCCTAAACTTTCATTTTCCTCCAATTGCCCCTCCCACCGACAAACTAACTCTCTCTCCCCTTTTGATTGAAATCGACGACATCACCATAATCGACCCAAACGACAACGAAGTCTTCCAAACACAGGCGCCGACTTCAACAGTTGTAACAATTGCCGCAACGAAGAGTGCCAAAACAAGACCTCGACATTGACCTCTTTTTTGGAATCTCTCACCTGCACAGCATCTCTGGTACACATCTTCTCCATCCACTGAAAATGGATCCCGTCGGAATACAGGTACTCCCACTTCATTCCCCTTGTCTCCCGCATTTCCAATCAGCTTTCCCTCAATGTTAGGGAAACCGTCTACTTCGCAACCAGGAGCCGATCAACGAAATGCGTCTACCGCTGCACCTGAGATGGCACGAGCATCGAGCTCGAAATCCTTGTGAAACTGCCATTGTCGAAGGACATCGAAACGACCGGTGTTTCACCAAACACGGTTGGAAACACGTGTCCGCCCTCTTCAACTCCTTCATCGGCTACTACTGGAGTAAGCAACAGTTGCACAACCATTGGGACGCAATGTGTCGAGCCCACAAACGTCCGTTGGAGCTTATGAATAGCAGCAGGTGGAGTACAACCAAGCTACCAACCACATCGTCACGTCAGACGAATGGTGGAATCGGAAGCTTAAGGTAACGTCTCACAACTTCACGTTTTGGACCCAACCTCCAATTCATGACAACTTATCATTGTCTCCCATTTCAAATTAATGAAACTGCTGAGAACAACAAAATGGATCGTTTTTCTTTGTTAAGTGGTAGCACCTAAAATCTACCAACATCAATTGAGCAATGAACTACTGAAATGAATAATTACAAATTAATGTGTATGGATGTTGCATGACATCTGCTGTGGAATGGAATTCCCTAAAAACGGAAATAGGTTGGTAATTGCTTTCCCTTAGTCATTTTTTCTTCCTCACAAAGATGGACATCATACCTTTTTCAGTTGTATGCTTAATGCGTTGGAATGTGACACTCGGACGACGTGATCAAATTGAATAACATCATTGTTACGGATTAATTTTTTTAGTTTCTATTAACAATTAACCGATATCGAATGTTCATTATCTTTTTCGTTGCACTACACTAGAAAGTCAAACAAGGCTGGATCAAAACTCTGGCCGAAGCACAATTCGTCAAAAACATTACGACTGCCGGCATTCGGTTTGGGGAAAGGGACATTTCAAATTACCTATAAAAGACTGCCCAAAAGTGTTTTGGTTGATTTTCTGAGTCGACACTTGAACACTATTTCCGTCTTGGCATTTCAGAGTGTTGTATATATCACTTGTAAGTGTTGTTATTTTTCTGTGAAATGGCCTACACTGTGGTTTTTGTGTCCATGTTTGAGCATTTGGGAAAGATGCTTAATGCAATACTGCATATGCTTAAACAAAAGTAGAATAGTCTTTGTTATTTATTGCCCAGTAGAATATGAAATTAGGTATCTACCTATTTACTGATTTTCGAAAACATAAAAAAAAATTCCTAAAATTTGTTTGGAGAGTGGTAACCTTGTTTCTCTTCTCCTGTCGAAGCACAAGTGTAGCACTGAGTGTATCACGCAATTTTTTTTGTGCATTCTCATATCTCGCGTTTTATCTTTATTGATGCATTCCAAATTCCATTGCATACTGATACTCTAAATCCTAAACCCGTGCTTTGTGAGAAAACAAGGACTACAAAAACTTCCAGGACAAAGACGTGAGCGAGATCTATATTTGTTACTCTCAGCTATTTGGAGATAGCAACGATAGAGACAAGTACGTCGTCACTCCCACTAAGTTGTGCAAAATGGGATTCAGTCTATACGAGAACAGTGCGCTCGAAGAAAATAGGGACGCTATCCCGATCGACGGCGAGATTAGTGGTTCGAGCGATGAGGCTGAACAAACACATGGCAGGGTTGCGCGCGAATGTCTCCACCACCACAAGTGGCGGTAAATGGAAATCTTTTGACGGAAAATGACATTGTCGGAAGAAAAAAAATCTCTGCTCGTCAACTGTCTTTCCTAGTTGACCGTGCCACGAGTGCTACGGAGGAAGTGGAGGGGAAGATTAACACGATTATGGCTTCGAACGAAAGCGCTAGCATTGCCTGCGTTGAGGAGTTGTTGGCGATAGGATGGCTAGAGCGGCAGACACCTCTGTACTTTTTCGCATGCGCACTTCTTGCAAAGAAGCATTACCAAGACATGCTCGTCGTCATGAAGGATGCAAATGAGAAATTTGAGTGGATCGAGTGGATGTTTAACAATCAAGGGAAGTAATTATGCCGGTTGTTCTGTGTCTTTTATTTTTCCTCTTAAATCAGTGTGAAAATTGCCTTCTTATGCACTATCGTCTAAGCGTTGTAATTTATGCGTGTTAATTTTTATTATGCTATTGAAATTGTTCTCACATATTGCACTTAATTATTGTCTTTATATCGTACAAAATTTTCACGTTCTTTTATAGACAAATGTAGACCCAAACATAGGGGAGAACAAGTTTGTCACATTCACATTTTTTCAACCTTACTCAAGTTGTCATGTCACTTATAAAAAATGAAGAATTTTTAGTGGCAAAAAACCTATGGCCCTAGGCTCACTCTTTACGGGGCAAAATGGGATGTGTAAACACTGTAAGGCCACATATTTTACAACTTGCAGGCACCAAGGAATAAGTGCATGTGATATGGTACCCATGCATACACAAGTTCTATAAATTCGTATGGAGAAAGGTAGCGAGGAAAAGTGTGAAGAGTTGTGAGGCTGTGACATCTTAGAATTATTTGCAAGTTTTTAACACACAGCAGTTGTCATATTCTAGAAGTCCAAATGTTTGGCAATACAGATGGTCTTAACTTCAACTGCATTCTGCTGCCGTGATCCGACAAGGATGAAGACATGGACGAAGGGCATTTCCTGAACCATTTGGCAACCGATGCAACAGCATATGTTACGTATTGCTGAATCGCTGAGAGCAATGCATATCAATACTATCGAAGACAGCATCGTCGTGTCCAACGATTTCCACTCGCAAAAAATGGTCACATGTTCATACTAGTGGCAATGAGCGAGAATGCTCAAATGTGCTATCAAGAATTTCGTAAGTATCTCCCAATGCTGCGACATTTTGCACATGTATTCTGCGACGAGCATGGCTTGCAAAGCAGTCAGCAGGTCGACATCTACGAGCAAGTTGGCATGTTCATGTGTATACTCGTGCACGAAAAGGGATATCGACAAGTGACAACGCTATTCAACCATTCGCTACAAGCCGTGTGTCACTACGTGAAAGAGGTTCTACGTGCTGTGGTTGTGTTGTCCACGCGTATGATTCGGTCAAGTCTGAACTATAACGAAGGTTTAGACCCTCACATGCCCAATTTGAACAAGCATCCACTGTTCGAAGACCGCATCGGTGCTATTAACGGAATGCATGTCAAAGCAGTAATATCGCGGCACGAGCATATACACTTCATAGGACGAAAAGGCAAGCCGACGCAAAATGTGTTTGTCGCGTGCAATTTTAATGTATGTTTAACGTTCGTCCTAGCAGGGCACATTGGGAATACCCACGATTTTATAATCCTTGTGCATGCTATTCACTCGCTAGACATTCATTTCCCGTTGTTAGGCCAGAGAAGTACTATTTGGTAGACTCCGAATTTGCGCATCGGCCCGGGTATATGGCACCGTACAAAAGGTCGAACATCCTAAATCACTTCCAACATTTTCGCGACGAGCTAACGGGACGACGTCGTCACTTTCATAATGCTCAAGAGAAGTTTAATTTCAGACACTCGTCCCGCAGAAACACCATAGAGCATACGTTTGGGGTGTGAAAACAAAGGTGGAAAATCTTGGACCGTATGTTTAACTACCCTTACCTGATGCAAATTGCAGTTGTCGTAGTCATGATGGAGATGCAGAGGAGGATGACGACGAGGTCGAGATGGAGCTACTCAGCACAGAGGATGAGATACACGTCCAAATGCATGCACCAAAATTGTAGCGGAGTGAGTGGGACGGGCTGCGGGATTACCTGGCACAGCAACCGTGATTGGGATCCAGTTTTAAAGTATTCCAATAGTACCCGACAAAGTAAATGTAGCATGCACATTAAAGCGTACGGGTGTCAACTGTATATTCTGAATAAATGGTATCTGCTCAATGTACCTGGTGCAATTGAAATCTCAATATTTGCGCGCATAGAAAAAACTAAAACTGAAAACAACTAAAGAAATAACCACGGTGCAATTGGAAAAATAATTGGGGTAAAGTGTCACGTGGGTTGGAAAAGTGGATTGTCTTTTATCAATTACTTTCATGTTGTTGACTTGTTTTTTGAATGTGTCATTAAAAAATTTATCTTCCCCTCATCTTTCTCGTCGGTTCCAGTTCTTTAAATGGGTTGAAGAGAATGTCAAATAATGACAAAAAGGGCAAAGTTGGCATTTTGCACATTTTGAATTTGAATAGGAAAATAAAATATTGCATGGACCCCACATCGATGTGATAGGAAAAATGCATTTTGCAAATTAATGGAAAACAAACGGGGGCTTATAAACCACGTTTGCAACAACTTCTTTTATTTTCAAAATTTCATAGTCACG